TCGTGCTCGAAGAAAATTTCTTACATTTCTTATATTTTTCCGGGGTAATTATATGATTAAAGTTTATAAAAAAGCAACGAATGTTAGAAAGTTTAAAGCGATGGTTTGCATTACAACCAATAAAAGTAACTGGACTTGATTTGTATTCCAAAAATCCACCAAATTTGTACAAAACCAACTTAAGTTTTGGAATATACTTTTACTAAGAAATAATGAGAGCTTATAGAAGCATCCATTGTGAGCAAATCCTGGAGGCGTCACAAGGCTTTGAATTTAATTAGGAACGTTTAGTCACATGTCTGCGTCCACTGAATAAACAGGTAGGGAGACGGAAGTGAGTTGCGGTGTGATTTGTCTTGAGGTTTTTGTTCAAAACATGGAGAAAAACATTTCTTATTTACGCTGATTACATAAATAGAAATAACAATTTAAAAATTAACTTTTTTTAAGTGAATAAATAAAATGAATGGACATAGTTACGTTGTTAACCGACATATAGCAGAATGACTTAAATTTTATTAGCACCATACTTCTGTACTAAAATTACAATAAGCGTAGCGTCGTAGCCGCTCGTAGACCCGCTACATCACAATCCAATTTCGGCCGAAGACAAACACGAAACAGAAAAAAATCATTTTAATATCCGCTCAATAACACGAGATCCTTATTTATAACACCAATAACACTCTTCAATAATGACGTAGTCGAAATTTTGCGCCAGCATACGTGGAACTTCCCTGCCTCGTTTGACTCTTAGTGAAATTATAGTAGCGGGGTTATTTGATACTGAACTAGGGGTCAGCGTGACTGGTTTCCAGGGGCGATGCTCGGCGATTTATAGTTTGCGTTAGGTTCGGTTCTCCGGTCACGTTCGGAGGGACGCATGTCCGTCAGGCCCCATGTGATAGGATGATTTGAACGTGTGACGTGTATCGGTTAGCGCTGCCATTTGTTTTTATCTGTTTTCATTTGTTTATTATTTGTTTTCCCGAAGCGTCTGATAGCGCGGAACGTGGCCTGCATTTTAAAATACGGTATTTGAAACTAGAAACATTTTTATAACACTTTTTGTCATTATTAAAAAAAATATCTAATATTTTTAAATCATTTTTTATTCTTTCTTAATCATCAGCTACTAAGGGGATCGGTGTCTACACTAAGTAAGACGTGACTAGGCCATAGTCATCCACGCTGGCCCACTGATGGTTGGCTTCACATATATCATTTAATTTCTTCGTCAATATGTGCATGTTGCATCACGATGTTTTCTTTCACTTTAAGATTAAGGTATTTTGGTTTTAAAACCAAACCAAAACCTTTTGCCTTCTTCTATTAGATGAAAAGACACAAAAAACTTACATCTTCTCACTTAGATTTTCTTCACTATATTTTTAACTTATGATAAATATTGCCATATCAAGAGTTGCCTTGAGTTTCATAGTTATGATATACGTGATTGTATAATCATAGAATCAATTCCATGAGGGATTGAATGCAAATAAATTAGAGAGTCGGTCGCGGCTCGGCGGCCACTTTGTAATAAAATTAACCATTAAAATCAAACGGGCCATATCGAATGAGCGCAGTTAGTCGTTACATTGTCGTACATCATTGATAATCGGCAAAGTTTTACGATTCATTTTTGACACTCGTAATATAATATCTTGCGAGTTAACGCCGATGGGAATTATCCCTAACAAATGATGCGTTTTAATTAAAATTTCATTCAAACGTAAAATAGCGCTCAAAAACTGTATAAGCACATTAAAGACCAGATAACCACACATTAGTTGTGTTTTCATAGACGGTTTAGAGCGTGCACACCTTTGACTAAACTATCGCACAACTGTTTAGTTGCGCTTTGATTCCTTTGAGTTTATATAGAGGTGCGCACACTACTCGATTTTTAGTTTTGCAACTAAACGGTTGAATTGGCTGCGAAACAATCGACAATCGAAAATAGCACAAAAGTTGTGCAAGATCTCAAAAAAGAGTGGATTAGGCTTTTATATTTCTTTTATTAAATCGTAAAATTCTAAACAATATAACCGTGTACTTTTATTTATTGACCGACTTCACAAAAGAAGGAGGTACTCAATTCGTCTCTATGTTTTTTTTTATTCGTGTTACGGCATAACTCCGCCGCTAGTGGACCGATTTTGATAATTGTTTTTTTATCCGAAAGGTAATGCTTGCAGGTGGGTCCCGTTTTCGATGATAATATTATAGTTACATTCCTGTTATTTAATTCCTTATTACGAAATATACAGTGTTATATATAAATTTCTGTATAAGTTGCTTCTGACTTAAAAAGTAACGTATCTAAGTGACCTAAACGACTTAAGTTAATTTATGAAGACAATTTTACAGGAGTTAATTGCGCCCAGTAGGCGGGTAGTTGCAATAATGCGGTTGAACTAAGTACATTTGGACTGTTGCAGATAAGTCTAGGCCCGCGCGTTAAGCACACGTACCTAGAAATATTATGCAGGGGTATGCAACATTTTTAACAAATGTTTTCAGCAGAAATACTGTTATAGTGCAAATTCAAAACATAAAATATTTTATTCAATTTCTTTTTTCTTTCGTAATTCTAAAGTTAAATTCAGTTGCCACATCTCAGTAATTCTAAATTCAAACGTAATTATATTTTTAATATAAACAAAAATGATCCATTTTACTAATGTTAATTCTGAGCCAAATGTTTAGAACTCCAGCTATATGAGATAGGGAGGGGACTTAAAACTTTTGTGCAACTTGTAGAGGCCAACTGTAATCATAATAATTCACTTAATAATGAACTCCGCAAATAAGGATTATTCCCGAAACTTTTCCTAAAGTTTCGGTCGCGCTCCGTTTCTTTCTGTTCTCGTTTTAAACGTGCTTTTATACGAATTCGAGTTTATGATACAAATAAACTGCGGCCGCAATTTCTTATCACGACCAACAGGAACGCTAATTTGACTTAAATAAAAATAAACCGAATCCATAACTACGGTAAAAAAAATTACAGTGTTTCCTCCAAAAATGCTGAATTGCTTCTAAGAAAACGTTAGTAAAATTTACTTTAAGCATCAGTGTATTAAAACTTATTCTGTACAAATAACACACGCTTGTGCTAGTTGTCAAATCAAAACAAATTTCTTTACTAAGTATTTGAAAGCGAAACTTTGATCTCCATTTCGTAACAAGTGAACTCAGGCAAATGGTCAATCCGCGTCAGCCCGAGTGACGCTCGTGTAAATGATTCTCTCGTCGATTGCCCGCGTAACTGTTGTGACGAACGGCCGTCAATTAGCTCGAACGTCCCGGAATTATGCGGCCAACATGACGTTGAAATAACACGCTGTCGGCTTAAACACGCTGTCGACTTAAACACGCCGCCGTCTAACGCTGCCGGCTGAATTCAACACGATCACGCCATCCGTCAAACATGTGAAGTTTATTACGGACGTTTAATCTGTATTAAATTTACAATCCGCTTTGATGTGGCGATTTGTGAATTGTTCAGTTAATGGTTAACTGGAAATCTAAATTCAAATGATTTAGTTGAGTTACCTTAAGAAGAATACAAAGTTTCAATGCACTATGTTTACGTTTTAAGTTTTTTGTTTTAAACGAAACAACATTACGTAAAAAAATATGGAGAGTTTTTTTTTTCAGTAACTTCAAATAACTATACGTATAATTTATTTATCTCTATGTTGAAATTCAATTCGCTTATTAAAACAAAAAGGTTCTTGTAAAGTTATAACGTAAAAAATACATAGTTTGCAAGTTGAAAGTTTCAAAATGAATGTTTTGTGTCGCATACCGCCATCTAGCGAGCAGTGGCGAACTTTAAGCATAAAAACAGTTTTATGTTTTAAGTTCATTAATAATTTACCAAATAATTATCATTTAATTGATTTGGCTTCATTTTCCTTACACCTTTAAAAATTATTAAGAATAAGTACATACCTAACTGATACTAGTTTTATAAAACGTGACAAATATTCGTATAATTAGATATATAGATGGGTACTTAACGATGCACGTTTTTGATGTGTATGAATATAAATCGATAAATTTAATTAAATGCTCATTAAGTTCATTGGGACTGCTGTAACAATTCTTATCCAACGACATTATTTATTGATATATGACAAGCGTAGAG